TAAACAGATTTGATTAATGGATGAATAATTCATAATATATATTTTTAATTTTAATATATATTTTTGTAAATAATTAAAATTTATTTACATTGTAATGTTTAAATCTCTCGAAAGACAGGATCGATTGAAATAGTATAAATGCTTGTACTATTAAAAATTGAGATTGAATTTAACTACCCATACAGCACAGAAATATTGCAACATTGCAAAAATATTTCATTGCAAGATTGCAACATTGCAAAAATACTGTGAAATATTGCTGCAATATTTCAGCAACGTAAAAATGTCCGTTTTAAAAATCTTGATACGTAATTGCGCAGCAATATTACAATATATATCCAATATTATAATAGGTTTTGTGCACAGTGAGGGATAGTTGCAGTATTATTGCAGAAACATTATAAAAACGCAGCAACATTGCTGTAATATTACAACGTTACTGCAATATTTATAAGATTTTGTACTATGTAAATTTAAATATAAAAAAATTAGAAGGAATTAAATGTAACATACAATGAATACAAATAAAATATGACTTCATAATTAATTATATCTTTATATTTTATGCGTGTTCTGATATACACTGCCAGTACTGAAAATCTACAGTAACGTGAACTATAAATTTCAATACTGGCTGTGCATATCGGAACACGACCTATATGTCTTATAACTTATTATTGTGTCCATTGTGCAATATATTTAATCCTTACTTCTAATTGTTTTATGTCTATAAATTATAGACATTGACTACTTTTTTTACTTATGTCCATTTCCACTAATCCATGAGCTTAATTATTATATATTAAATTCTAATCTTTAGAACTAGAAAAAGACGAAGTTAAGTTGAACTGAGATTAAAATTAATCTATATTGATAGAAATGGACATTAATTGGGTTTAATAATATTCGTAGTTAGAAACTAACCAGTCATTCCATTTTTCAGAAGAATATAGTTATGAGATTAGTCAATTTCATAACTACAGATGTTATGATAAATCCGATTAAATGTGTCGTGTAAATGTAATCATTAATTTCTATTCTTCCATTATGTCCAGGTCCTTACTTTATTGGGTTATACATAAATCAATATATACAAGTCTTAACACTCAAAGTGAACTTTTCTAGCAGAGGCATAAAGCAACACAGTGAGCAACACAAGAATCATTCTTGTCTTTGTTTCTTATTGATTTTTGAACAAGGATAACTCTCAATTTGTGTCTCTTGCTAATGGAAATATTTTAAAAATATTGCTACAACATTGCTGAAGTAATATTGCAAAAAAGAAGTCTTCGCAAAGTTTCTGCAACATTGTATTGCAACGTTGAAATGTTGCAGCAATGTTGCTACAAGTTTTTCTGTTGTACGGATAATTAAAGCAAAGTTCATTAAACTTAATATTAGTTTTCTTTCTTTTGATTCAAATTTAATTTGAATTTCAATCCCTAATCTGATATGGGTATAATGTAAATATTTTGAAGATTGTTCCTCATCCAATTTTCAAATTAGGTCGAGTAAATATATGCAATAAAAATGCAGGATGAAAAATTATTAATAAATTCAGTTAATGCGGCGTGAAGTTAATGATGAGCGGACGATTGCGCGTGGTTTTATTTTTTAACAAAAGCTCGATCGAAGTGTTATCGCGCGGATGACAGGCTCGGCTAGATGATCAACAACGTGTATATCACATATACGCGGTATTAATAAAGTCGTGAAAACGTGAATAAGATGTCAGCCACGGCGATATAAATAAATGGCGGGCGGCAATAATAATGAGAGCGAAGCGTAAAAGCGAGAATTGATGCAAAAACTATGGGGTGGAGTTCGTGTACTGGCGGCCTATACGGGAATTTTGCTGGCCGAGCTGGCTTATTCGCGAAAATGCAAGATTCGTGAACTGATATTTGGCCTTGCCATGCACAACATACATATTTTTGTTACAATGAGAATTATTCAGAAATATAAAAACAGATGAAAAATATAACAGAATAACGAAAAATATTATTTTGACCTAAAACTGACGAATGCTTTTTACAAGATTTACTCCGAGTCCCTTTGATCTACTTTCTTCTCGTCAAAATGTCGGGCTAACAGTTTTCGAGTATTCAGCGAATAAAACACTTTTTTGACAGATTATGCTTCAAATAAATAAATAAATCACAAAATATCCCCTTTCATTTAATTTCAAGTAGATTTTAATAGAATTTTAATTAAAAAATGGAAGATTATGCGATTTATCAAAAAGAGCACAATTAAGAATCGAAATATTTAAAATAAATAATTATTTGACAAGAAATAAATTGTAATATAATAGTACAAATTTAAATATTACAATAATAAATGAATCATGATTCAATCGATATAAGTTTCAATCTCAAAAACAAAACTGATCCACTAGTTTTTTTTATTTCAGTGAGCACACAATTAATATACAACTTTGTTAAACAATAGTAAATGAAAATCGATCGAAAAATTCAATAAATAAATAAAGAATACCATATTTAATAAAAACAAGTCCTAATAATATTTTTGTGTGAATTTTTATCGTTGACACATAGTTGCTTGAATTGGAAATTGCAAACATTCACAAAAAATATAATTAGACACCCGTTTTGACCAAATATGGAATTCTTTGCTTACTTATATGGAATTTCATTAATTTGTTCTATTTTTTATTTTATGGAGTTAAAATTTAATTTCTTAAAGGCTTACTATCTTGCATAAATGCTCTCTCAATGCTTTGGTGAATGCTTTTCCTATGATGTTTCACTCCAGAAATGCGCAATTGATGGCCAATCAGAAAATTAGCCCAAAATATTATAAGTCAATATAGAACCCCCCTATTAGAAATGTACCAATAAAAAATTTTTTATTCATACACCGAAATTATATTCGACCGCCATTATAAGCAATGAAACACTTTGTATTTTTATATCATGGCTTTCCCTCTTCATTTGTCCTTCTATCGCTCCGCCGAGGATCCTGCTGACCCAAGGCACGGCTCTTCCACGTAGATCCTTTTTTCGTAGGTCGCAGTTCGCGCTAGAAAAATCTCGCGGAACGAGTCGCCACCCCGCCGTCGCCGTCGTTGTCCCCGTCGTGACCGTCGTTGGCAGCGGGGACTTATTCGCGGACCCGAGAGGCCGCGATGTACGAGCGTGAGACCGGGACCCAGGCTCGTAATAAGACCCGCCGGCCAGTTTTTTTTCCGGCTCCTCTCTCTTCCTCTCTCTCTTTCTCTCCCTCTCCAATCTTTCTCTTACCTCCACGACCTCTTTCTTCGGTTTTACCCTGCGCTCTTCTCTCTCTCCCTCTCACTCTCCCTTCTCTCCAACGGCGGCACCGTATTAATTTATACGCGGTACGTGTGTGCACGCCGCTTTTTCTCGCAGTTCCTCGAAATTTGCAAGAAACTAGTCGGACACTCTGGCGTCCATTCGCTTGTCATCCGAAGAGACAAACTCGCGCGATCGTGCCGGAACGGAACGGCGGCGAAGACAACGAAGATCGCGGGTAATCGCGAAACGAGGATAGCGCTTGCTAATAGACTAAAATAGAATTAATCTCATTCCTAATTTGCCTAAACATATGGTATCAATAATGATAATCTTATAAAAGTGCAAAAAAAAATATGTATTTTCGAAGCAGATCTTAGTGCCTAATCATTTCACAAAAAGTGAATTTATATATTCCATTCTGCAAATCAAAAATTTTTTCGATCGATGAAATGCAATTATGAACAGAATTAGAGTAATATCAATACAAGCAATTCAATAATTTTTTTATACTACTAAACATTTTAAAAAGGTATTATAATTTGATGTTAATTTAAACGTTTAATGCCATTTCTATCAACGTAGATTAACTTTAATCTCGGTTCGACTTACTCTTTTTCTAATCTTTAGAATTAGAAAAAGACGAAGAGTAAGTTGAAAGAGAAAGTTAATCTACGTTGGTGGAAATGGATATAAAAATTGTAAATAATATTTATAGACATATTTCCGAACGAATTTATCTTGGCTCTTATTTAAAATTAAATAATAGAGGAAATTGTGCGGCCGCAATTAGCGATAAAGGATCGCTTCCAACCGATTAGCAATTTTTGGCTTTTTATTACAATAGTAATAATCAGCCACGGCAAACTGCCGTCTCTCTACTCTTTTCTTATCCGTCCATGATCTCGACAATCAATTACATCATAATTAGATAGATGCAAGGATCATTAATATTCCACAGATGATTGAATTGAGCCTAAAGCCATAATCACACCATAGGTTTCCGGTTACGGTTTTACTAGTTGAGAATTTTATCTTAGCAATCACATCTAACATTTCTAACATTTTTATCTATTTGTTAAAAATGTATCCTAGGGATAGTGATTAATAAATATCGAAAATATTGTAACGGTTCTTGGCTCCCTTCTCCGCTGGTGTATTCATGCCCTACTTTTATTTTGTATTACTTCATGTTATACTTCGAGATATGCGTTATCATAAAGAAATCGAATCAGGATCACATTGCAATGTTATCAAATCCTCACGCGTTTGATGCATATATGAAGTAATGAATGATATATTTGCTTGGCTTTAAGCTGTAATCATACAATAGATGTTAATTACGATTGCCGGTTGTTGGTTCTATCTTAACCAATTACAATGCAGCGAATATGGACCATCTGCAATGTGATTGCTAAGATAAAATTCTCAACTAGTAAAACCGTAACCGGAAATCTATGGTATGATTATGGCTTTAGGCTCAATTCAATCATCTGTGGAATATTAATGATCCTTGCATCTATCTAATTATGATGTAATTGATTGTCGAGATCATGGACGGATAAGAAAAGAGTAGAGAGACGGCAGTTTGCCGTGGCTGATTATTACTATTGTAATAAAAAGCCAAAAATTGCTGATCGGTTGGAAGCGATCCTTTATCGCTAATTGCGGCCGCACAATTTCCCTTAATGAATCACTTTAACGAATACGATGTGCGATTTGCAGTGGTGCAGACGTCCGTGCCGCAGAACGAGGCCGAGCTGCAACTGTACAGAGTGATGCAGCGTGCCTCCCTGCTGGGATACTACGACACACTTCTCGAGATGGGTAAATATACAAACGAAAATGTATCTATGTACGTTGAAAGACATTTTAATGTGCACTTTTGGATCCAGGGAACTATTTTAATCCAATATCTTAATACTCGTATCAGGCTAATATTATATTTGTCGCACGAAAAAATTTTAAAGTATAATTGTTTATAGGAAAGATTCTCAAATTTGTATATAGTCAATCAAGGCTTGAAATTTTTGTACGACAATATGTAATATCAGTTTCAGACTAAAGATTGAGATTGGATTGGAATTTGATCAACACAAATTAGTTCATTTAACTTAATATTTGTTTTATTTCTTTTGATTCGTTAAATTTCAATCCAATCTTAATCTCAGTTTCTAATCTTATTATCTGATACAGGTACAATACGTATTTCTAGATCCCGGGAAAATATTCCAATCTAGGAGACATCTTTATTCGCAGATTCTAATCCCTATAAATGCACAGTTCTAAACAATCTTTTGTGGAGATTGTAGAGAAAAAAGATATTAAATTGTTATTATAAAATATTATTACAAAAAATAATTGATTTTCAGACAATTAAAAATTTATTCTCTTATTGATTAAATCTCTGGCTGGAGTATTTATTTTATTAGGTTGCATATGTTTTCTGCTGTATCAATCTAACAGTAGACATAAAATATTGATTGTTTAAAAATTAAGATCGTTCGATGCGTTTTTTACTATTTTAAAAATTGAGAATATTTGTTGACGTATTTTTTTCCCATGAACTTTTTGATGTTTTGGCTAATTTCGAATCAATTTTTTTTTTAACAATAATAGAAAATCGTTCTTTATTGCAACTCGTTGAAATTTACTTGAACTGAAGAATATGATTATATATATATATATATATTAGGTGTACAACTTTGCTTTCGCCGTTTCCCTATAGGCTTTAGCGGTAAGTGGTGGTCGAAATAAATAAATCATAGACATCATACAATAAACTTGGGCATCTGTCAACATAACCCCATAGAAACATTAGTCGATTTGTGTCTGCATCATAAAGTTATTCTCGATTGAAAATGTCAATTTACGAGCCAAATTCTCGTCATTTGCGGGAGGTTTTAATTTTTTGCTTCAATATGAAGAAATCTGCGGCTCTGAAGAAATCTGAGGCTCATCGAATGCTCTCAAATACTTATGGTAAGGCCGCTATTAGTGAAAGAACGTGTCGTGAGTGGTTTCAACGCTTCAAGAACGGTGATTTTGACGTTGAAGACCGGCATAGCGGTGGTAGAGAGAAGGTTTTCGAAGATGCAGAATTGGAGGCATTACTTGAGCAAGACTCGTGTTAAAATCAAGAAGAATTGGCATGATCATTGGGAGTGACTCAACAAGCCATTTCAAAACGCCTCAAAGCCATGAGAATGATTCAGAAGCAAGGAAATTGGGTGCCGTACGAATTGAAGAGCCGAGAAATGTTGAACGGCGTTTGTTTGCTTGTGAACAGCTGCTTGAAAGGCAAAGACGGAAGGGATTTCTGCAGCGCATTGTGACTGGGGACGAAAAATGGGTTCATTACGATAATCCCAAGCACAGAAAATCATGGGGAGTTCTCGGCCATGCTTCCACGTCGACGGCCAAACCGAATATGCACGGCTCCAAGGTCACGCTCTGTATTTGGTGGGACCAGCTCGGCGTAGTGTATTATGAACTGTTAAAACCGACTGAAACAATCACAGGCGATCGGTATCGAACGCAATTGATGCGTTTGAGCCGAGCATTGAAAGACAAACGGCCGCAATACAACGAGAGACACGATAAAGTGATTTTGCAGCATGCTCGACATGTTGCGAAAGTGGTCAAGACATACTTGGAAACGTTGAAATGAGAAGTTCTACCCGCCGTATTCTCCAGACGTTGCTCCCTCTGACTATCACTTGTTTCGATCAATGGCACACGGCCTGGCTGACCAGCACTTCCGGTCTTATGAAGAAGTAAAAAATTGGATCGAT